CAGTGTCAAAGCTAGTTGTAATTAGGGCGGGCAAAATTAGAACCTGTCTTTAAGAAGCAGCAAGAAATTTGCTACTCAGCCCATAAAAGTTAAAGCTTCATCTTTAGATCACCCCACTGCTGGCATCTGGCAGCACTGAGCCCAGCAAAGAGCCCAGCAGAGCCACCCAAGGGCTGCAGAAGACCAGGAACATTGATTTGGCTGGAGACGTGAGGAAAGAGGGCTGATGAAAACAGTTTCTGTTCCTCCATACCACAGAAAGTCAAGCAGAAAATTAGACATTCGAGTGGCGTTGATAACCTGACTTGGAGATGATGGTACATTCTGTCCAATTACTGTGATTAGAGAGAATTAGAGAGAAATTACCCTGTACAAGACTGCTATTTGTAAAGGTACAAATAACAAGATAGTAATTTTTATTGCAAAAGTTAAGTAGCACGGATGTTCCACCCATCGTTATTACATTCCTCACTATTATCTAAAGGCAGATTTGAAATAATTACTGAGTGCACACACTTCACTGAGTAGATTACACTCACATATAACTTGAAAAACAAAACAATATAATGACTTCTGCTGTAACTTGAAATTAAAAAAAATATATATTAAATTCCGATTACCTGAAATATACAAAGACTTGAGTAACATCGTGATTATGTGAGCTGAAAATAAAGAAAAGAAGAGAGATTAATTGCTTCATCAAGTTTTAAGTTATGAAAGATAATGATTTTTATTATCTGGCTCTGTTCACTTGATAATAGTAACAAAAATAGAGGGAAATACTGCTACCAAAACCCAACCCCAGCACTAAGCTTGCTACTCTTTTCACTTCCTAGATGCACTGAGATGAATGTAGAAATTTTACTGCTGATAGGGTCTTGTGGTCCCTCTGTGAGCATTTCTTCCAGCATCCTTTCAAGGAGAACTTAGCTAAAGTATTCCCATCGTAATTCAAACCAAAACAAACAGCAGCACAATAGAGAAATAACTGTATAGATATTTAAATAGCTATTGCTTTCTGGCCTAGAAGGGTAGGCACAATGACATGAATGATTTCAGGAATCATTTATATGTCCACATATGGAGCATGTGGCCAGGAAACCATGCTATCCCTCCTGCGTTTGACTCTGTATGTGTGCTCTGAAGCAGATCTGATGGAGATCAAGATTAAAAGTTAAATTGCTTGGCAGCATTGAAACAGATATAATTACTGGCTAATTATAGCATCAGCATCTGAGAAAAAAAAATAAGGCACATAAACAGTCTTGTTCTGGACAACACTCACAATTATCACCCAATTATGGAAGCACTGCTGCTCTCAAGATCTTTAAAATAACTCCATAGAAAACACATCTCTCCACCTCTCATTAAAGCCTTTTGCTCAATTACAGAAACGTTCTCCCTGCTGTAACAGAGATGTCTTCTTCATTTTCCACCTCTCACAGTGAGATGTAACAGGAGAAAATGGCCTGCAGTCAATTAGAGACTCTGTGCTTTTCTGGAATAGTCCAAGTTTCACTATTCAAAATCACTGGAGAATGAATAAAGCTAGGGGTCATGAAATTAATGTGAGGCAAAACTCAGTACGATTACACTTGCAGACATTTTTCATCTAAAAGGAGCCATTAATGCACAGTACAAGACAAGTTATCAAGGAGAACTCAAAACAAGTTGGATTCCATCTTTACATATCATAAAAAAGACAAAAAGAAGAGCATGGTTTGAATTTAATCAGCAACTTATAAGAGCCAAAGGAAGGTAGGATGATAAATCCTTGGTCCTGGGTAGGATCCACAGGCAAGGAACACTGCCCATACAGCACAATTGCAGCAAAGTAAAACTCACTCCCAACTGCTCTACAGGGCACAGGTAGAAGAGCAATTGGTCACCATACAGAGACACAAGAAGGGGTTCATACCTCCCAAATTCTGGCTTCATTGCTGCACAGAAGTGAAGCTTGCTCTTTTTCATCTGACTTTGTAGGAGAAGAGACTCTCTCATGAGCAATTAACAATACAAATCTAAGACACTCTTCTCCTTCCTCCAGTTATAAAGAGAGGGGTTATGATGAACCTATGTGAGCTTGTCATGTAATCATAAACAGCTAAGAAACTCCCACTACCAGACACTTCATTATTGAAGCTGTTGCCCTGGCTTTTTGAGGAGTAACACACCTGTGGAGATGGAACTGTCAAACCCATTTAACAGCCAGCTGAAAGCAATATGGCTTGAGAGATTAAGGAGTAAAGAATAGATCCATTGATTTCTTATGGGATGGATTGAGGCAAAGGGAAGGACACCAACATGCCTAGTTCCAATCTGATTAGAATAAACCTACTCCTAGACGGTGGAAATTCATCACTAGGCACTGAGCTAAACTAACATCAAGCATCAATATAACAAAGACTTCCAAAACCCTGAACTGCAGGAATCTGTTGCAGGAGATATTGATCCTGTCTTGTCACAGCAGGGAAGGAGCTGATGAACACCTCACCACTGCTTTGCATCCTTCTCTGGCATGGATGCTCTAAACCAGCACTCCTGAATCCCCTCTCTGGATGCAGCATCCAGAGCTCTTCCCAAATGCTCACGGTGCTCATCAGTGCCAGACAAGTTCTGCAGTATCATGGGGTTCGAGGATATTTCAGAGAATATTTTCTTTAAAAAAAAAATTACGCCCCTTTTCTTATAACAAATTCAATATTCGTAGCAATACTTTGCTAAAAGTGACCTCAGTATTACAGGAATATTTTCACCCTGTTTTTACATATCCCTTTGGACTGTGGGCAGTCCAAAACGATCAGTTCTGGTATTAAATATGAGAGGAAGTGAAGTGTTTGCTTCCAAGTTGCATACATGTGTGCCATAAAAAATACAAAGCTCTGACAGCTTGACTATAAAGAAAAATTTACATTATGCAGTCGTGGAGCCATGCATTGTCCAACATCTATTAAGAGAACTCATCAAAAATATAGATATAAAACATACCTTACTTTTGTCTCAGCACACTGTAAGATTTTTATCTCCTATCCATAAATAATGGAAGAATCAGCACATTTGACTGGGCACAATAACAAATTCCATCCTCCTGGTAATTGTAAACACACTGAAGCTTGTTATTGACCTTGTATAAAATACTGACACGGGAAAAAAGGAAAAAAAAAAACGAAAAGTTTTTTTTCTCACCCTACAACCATTACATCCATAGCAAACCAAGAATTAAAACACAGCTGAATTTATAACCTGTGATGTGGAAGAAATGAGCAATCATAAAAAAATGAGCCGAAAATTAAAGTGTGCAGCAAATCTAAAATCTAAATCTCATACAGTAAGGTGTATCCATCCACTTAATGACAATTTACATGCATATTTTACTTGATTTAATCAGTTTTAGTTTTAAATCTTAAAATACTGGTCACTGTAATGAAACAGAATTTATTATCAATCTGTACAAATAGCACTGCTGATTTTCATAAGTAATCCATTTATATACTTTTGGACGTTTGAATGGCTAAATTCATTAGGCACTCAGCTCTCCCTGACTGCTTGCCTACCTCCTTTATGTCCCTTTGAAATTCGCTACGTTAATGCAACACTGCCAGTACAAAATAAATTATTCATCTGACTTATTAAGTACATTTCCTGAAAGGTTCTCCAACTTGGATGAATGTTGGAAAATATATTTTTCTATAACGATAATACAGCCATAACATTTTGACATAAAGTATCCTTTCCCACATTATCAGATCTCAAGGACCGTAAAGGATTGCACTTATGTACTCTATTCAAAATGTTCTGAATGAAACAATTCTTCCAGCCTGACTCTAAAAGGTATCAAAGTGCTATATGAGATCCAAGGATGCATCAGTTTAAAAGGACCACAAAACTTTGTGTACAGAAATATTGTGTTTGATGGGCCATAAGGGATAAATTGAGGGGTCTGAACCATCATAGATCATAACAGGAGACACACAGCTTTCACTGGCAGCAGATGCATGCGAGGCACATTTTAGTGTCTATTACAACACTTTCTCTTTCATGCTCATAACTTTCTAGAGAAATTTGCCATGCCTGGTGCTACTGCAAAGGCAAACCATTTATGAAAGATCCATATCAAAATCTATTAATCCATTGACAATACAGTTCTGAGGATGTTGGCAATGCAATATATGTACGCACCTATTCACTTCCTCACACACCCCTTCCTCCTACACAAAGCCAGACTCTTAGAAATGAAGGTAAGTTGCCCCATGGTTCTCTTTACTTTGTTCTAGTTCCTCCCTAAGCCTCTTCACTCCTCTTCAAGCACAAGGAGATTATCTGGCTTGAGATTTCTTTTTTTCCCCCTCTCCTCTTTTTTTCTTTTTCCAACAATTACAACTTGTACTTTATGTTCTCCAGGATTTCACTTTGAAGTGGATTTCCCAGGCACCAGAGGTCTTCAAGGGGGAATAAATGAAAGCGTGTCTATTTCTTCCGAGCACCACTCAAGACATTTGTGTGCTGATGCTGAGTGATCAACTCCAAGCACCGTGAGCTGGGCACGACATGTTTAATATTGAAGGATATATATTGAAGGATATTGAAGGTTGGGTGGCCAACGCTGCTGCAATGAGGCAGGAGGACAGGTGTGCATGGCCCTGAGCAGTAGGGCTGCTAACTGTAGGGCTGGAGTTAAAGCAAGTGGGGAAGAAATAATCAACGTCAAAACACATTGCAAGGAACTTATTCCGAGGGTCCTTATGTTATAATTCCATAATAACCACTCCCCCTTGCAGATGGATCTTCCTCCAGCTCTGCACCGTTTCAAACTCCCAGCAACATCAAAAGCCAACTGCAGTATATTACAACTGAAAAATTACACCTTATACATTTATTTCCATAGACAGGTTTGCACTGAAATAACTGTGCTGTTTGTAATGCTCATATATTCAAGAATCATTCGACAACTAATGTAATTTTATATTCACAGCTGGGCTTTAATAAAGTCTAAAGCATACTTCAAATTTACACACAGGTTGGCTGACCCATAAGACTGAGATGCCAAAGTCTTTACAGGAAGTCAGAAAAAATGAGACATCACGGGTCTGGCAGCGCTAGCTACTATGAGAAAATATCAGAGCAATCTAATATGGGTTTTATGCTGGAATGACTTAGGAATCAAGTTTGGACTGTGGAGTTCATCTTCTCCTCAAAATACACTCCTCACTTTGAAATTATTCCCCATTTGGGATATCATCGTGCAAACTAAGTATCACAAATGGGGATTGGGCTCTCAAGTAGAAAATTGAACCACGTAATAAGACAAAAGAAAAAGCTGTATGTCTTCACACATCATGAAACCGATAAAATACGAGAACGAATTTTGCAATGATATTCACAGATGTGTTTTTAAATGTAATTTTTCCTGGAGATACCAGCTGCTATTTAGATAACCAGTTCAAAAGAAATAGTCTAGCTTATTTTTATGCATCCATAAAGCTCCTTCCACTAAATGTTCAGTGAAGTATCAGACAGTAAACTCTGAAAAACAGAACCATAAAACTAAAAAGTAAACATGGGAAGAATATACAGTCTTTTTAAGGAGATACCTTAAAATAAAATTCTGCCTCTTTTGAACCACTCTGATAAGTGTATTTATTTCTGTGCAGTACAGAACATGAAAAAACATAAGATACAGAAAATCTATGGATATTAAAAGTACGCAGCGAGTTCAATCTCCAGTGTGATTTAGGTGATGTTCATAAGTAAAAACTGAACAGCCATTAGATTTAGAAAGGTCTGTTAAAAAATAAAAATTTTTACTGATTAAAAAATAAAAATTTGCTGTCCTAACCAAAGGCACTGCTTGATATCAAATGCAGAAACAAGGCAGAATCCATGGGCAACTAACTGCTTGTATTTAACTTTGGGATTCCTGTGATATCAACAGGGGGAACTGTAATTATGTGAGCTGCACTATATAGGGTACAAAAGAGCAACGCAAAGCACATCAAAATGAAAAGGCTAGGAAAGCTTGTCATATTTTTCAAAATTAATTAGACCCAAGCATTATACAGTGTAATTGCTCACTGGCATAACTTTCCAACAAGCACAGAAAAGAATCAAATGTTCCCCGTAAATGGATATAATAGAGAAATGTAATATTTTACGGAATTACTTTCATTAATTTAAGCTCAAGCAATCACAAGTCTGATATAACTTCCATTTCTGTAAAACAAAGAAAATTACTAGAGGTTCTCAATCAAAAGCTGCTTTCAAATGAAACACTGTGGGGTCATTTTCCTCTTTCATGACATTCCCTCAGTAAGCTGCTTAAACAAACTTAATAGTGAAATGCATCTGTAGCAAACATCGCTCATATTAAAATCCAGTGGGACATAAATGCAGATATTACTTTAGACCTTCCCAATGGTCGTGATTTGAAGTGCAGAATAACTGCTAGCTATTCAAATACGAGGGATGGCAAAATTGGTCTGTTTATTTCATTTTTTGCAATTGATCCAAAGCCAGCGCAGACATTAGGTATGCAAGAAGGAGATGACAAGATCGTGGCCTTTTCATGTCCAAGTGATACAACCCCGTGCTCAAAAAGAAAGATTAATTTCAGATAGGCAGCCTGAAGTGCAGATGTTCATCAGAGCCTCTGAACTATTTTCTGCTATCTGAAGAGCCCAGGTCTCATGCACGGTGTAAGCAATTACAACACGGAGCGGAACAGATGAGCAACACCAAAATTTCTTCCAGAGAGACAGCTTATCGCCCTCTCCCGCGGGCCCAGGTCTTCCTTGCTCTGAAAATTGAGTGAGGATCAAACAGATCTGGCAGTTCTCAGTTTAAGCTGCCTGGATGTTACCAGACAGTCAGGTTGAGGCTGATGAGGCCATAAAAATGGATTTAGGCTTTAGTACAGGATCTAAATCATCAAAGTAAGATGATGGGAAGTGCTGATCTTGGTGTTCAATCCTGCTCCAAAAAAAAAAAAATTAACTTTTTAAAGGCAGAATTCATATTCAGTCCCATACAGCAGCCAGCTCATTTTCATACATTCACAGAGGCACAAAGGCACTCTGCTAGCCTGAAAGGAGAACGCACACACAAGTCTGAGCCAACCCTAACCTGTGTTTCCTGATATCCAGACAGGTGCAGATCAGAACTGACGGTAAGACAGCACTCCACATATCACCATTATATATTTTATACTATTTACCAGCAGACAACTTATTGTGAGGTTTTGCCAGGCACCTCTGCAGCCCTGTAGCTCGACCTCAACCCCAAACACCTCACGTTGGCAGTTCTGCCACTGTTGTCTGGCTTTCTGCTTTCAGTGCAGTATAAATTGCCTTGCGTATTTAGATTTCTAATCAATGTGGGGAAAATGTTGTGCAGTTACACAATTTATGGGGCTTTCTGTAATGGGAAAAGCAAATTACACAATTTAATTAAATTTTAGTGCTGTCAAAGCTGACCTATAGCATTAATTTATTTCTAGGTACTCCAAACCAAAGCCAAACATCCAGCAGTAGAACTACATTTCCCTTGCAAAACCTCATTATACTTCTGAATTGTGTCATAAACTCAAACTTCATGATGACTAGTCCTATTTTCACTTGTACTTAAAGAAGGACCCAATCTAACTATGGGTCATCTTCAAATGCTTCTGTTTAGTAACATTTTCATTACATGATCAATAAGTAACTCTAACATGGAAATGTTAGTAAACATTTCTTAGATGAAATGAAGTATCTTAGTCAGAAAAGATATCCAAGTGTCAAAGATACTCATAGCAGGGAAAAATTGAAGTGCTGAATGGCTTTGCAAAGCAGTCCAAACAATCAGTCTTTTGCAAATAACTTATTCTAGACTTTCAGCTTAAAAGCTGAAGTCCTACTTCTCTTGACTTTTCTAGCTCTCTGAGAAGTAAATACCAACTCCCCATCTTTTGGAGTTGACTTTTGACTCTGACAAGCAATGTAAATTTAACAGCCCATACCAGCATGAATCTAAATAGAAATGCATAAAAGGCAGCTGAGACGAGGAGGAGGTGTTGATCAGAAGCCTAACATTTTTAACGTTGCACAACTCATTTTTCAGCTGAATTTTTATTTTCTACAATTTAATGGTATAGTAGACATAAATCTAGCCCAAGTCTAGCTTTGGACATTCACAGCCACCAGAGTAGAATAAATTTATAACAGAGACTGACTTTAACAGCCTTCTTTTCCAGAAGCTCAAAGCATTCTTTACCTGTTTGCAAACTTCATAAAGTTTGCAGTACCTGGGAGATTAATTTTTTTTTTCTTTAAAAATAAAATAAAATTTAAAAAAAAGAACAAAAAAACCCAGGAACAAACACTAAGCAACGAGGAACAGTAATTTCTTCCAGCTTGGACTGGACTTCCTGCTCTGCATTGGTGGTACATTAAGAGTAACACTGATGCCATGTTACTTAAGGATGTTTCCAAGAACTTTGCTTCCAAAATCACATTGAGCAGCAATCATTTTCTTTGGAGGAACAGAAGCACATCTGAGTCTCTTTGGGACATTTTGGCAGACCCTGTGGATGGTACCTTGAAAAACATGTGTTGTGTAGGTGGCTTTGTGGGTACAAACACGAGCTCTTCCAAGGGGACCAGAGCAAGTAGCTCTTCCTTCCCATCCTCTGTAAATCAGTGCTGGAAGTGCATTTCCACTTGATCTAGATGAAGACTTCACCTACAGGCACATGGAATGCTTCCCTCAATACCTGTTAGCAAATGTACTAGCACAATGAATGCAATGACACAGGATTACTGCACACTTTCTGCTCAAATATTGTAATTTTCCTATGACTCAACTGAAAACTTTAATGACAGACGTCTCTCTTTCAGCAGAACTGCTGCAATCTCATCCCTTACCTTTTTCTCCCTCTTTTTTTGCTCAGGATGCTGACACCGTGGCTTCTGAGTGTGAGAAGAAGGGAAGACATCCATCCTTGGTTCATACCTTCAGAGTATGATCAGAAGCCCAGTTGAAAGTACATCTATAAACATTTCCCTTAAATGCCTTATAATTCTTAAAGCCTTTATTAATTCTTGGGCCTGAATCGTGCGATGCAGTGATGTCCATGCAGTGCTTTCCAAAAGCACTGCTGCTGTTGGTAAATCTCAGCACGTTGACTTTCCAGCACTTACAGGGAATAACTGAATCTGCAGACCGCAATGCTGAGCTCACCTGACATTTGTTCTGCCAGGGTCCTGTTCTGCTCTTAGTGACATGGGCACAGGTCCCACCGAACTGCAGCAGCAGATTTAACAGAGGGCAGGATCTTTGTAGAGTTAATCCATTAATAGACTACATGCTGTCAGCTTTGCAGCCACTCCAAGTCAATCAATTCCTATAATGAATCAGAAACTGGAAAGGCAGAATGCATTTATCTTTAGTTTTAGATAATTTTAGAGACTTTTTTTGGACACAGAAGATGGATCAGAATCAGTTTTCAAGTTAACTTTTTGAGTCCAATCACTTAAGTACACAAAAATTAAAAAGTCTTCCAGTAGACCCAGGGCTCAAATCAGCAGGTAGCATCCTCCTGTGCAAATGAGAGCATTATGCCCTAAGGGATGGGGGCAGATCTGAAGATGTTTGTGAAAAAGAAACTTCTTGATGTGAAAAAATAAAAGAAATCAAGAGAAATTTCTCAAGGGCATTATTGGAGCTCAGGTATCCCACCTGAACACTTTCTCAGCTGGATGTGAAATAAAAGAATGATTGATTAGACGTCTTCGTTAATGCCAAAAGAAGAAGCTGAACAAATCTTACTGAAATAGAACACCACATCCCATACAAGCAGAGTTCTGCTGACAGGGAGAGAATGGCACTGTGCACCCGGTGGGGGGTTTCTCTATGCGAGCAGTGCTTGCTGTGATGGAGCAGCAGGGAGCTCAGCAGGGCTGCTCCTGGGTACAGGAAGGAAGGAGCAGCTTTCAAACTCGACTCCTGGCAGATTACATCCCCTCAAACTGCCTAGGAATTAAATAAAAAACGAACTAAAAAATAGCAAATAAACCAAAATAATAGCTTAAAAATCCAATGAGAATAACATTAAAGTAATAAAATTAAAATAAAACAGTCTCTTATTTTCAATACTATCCGAATATTCAAGTCTGACTTGGTTTTAAGGAAAAAGCTGTGCTCCCCAAAAGCTGAGCACACCAGAACTGACTCAGTGCCTGATGCAGGTGCTAGCAGGCCCTAGTCAATTAATCAGCTTCACATCTATCAATGCATACTTGGAAAACAATTCGTTATGAATCATTTATCTATTATACAATTATTTATGGAAATTCTTCCCAAACCAGGAAATAAATAGTATTTTTTAAATAATTGTGAGATCATCATTCAGATATTTCTCCCCTCTTTGGCTTTGTGTGCTTTGCAGCATAAGCCTTGCTGCCCACTGGGGAACATTTCTCTTTGCTGACCCATGAAATATGACAGAAAATGGCACAAGTCACCATGTTACATGAATTCAAACAATTCTATATTGCATCAGTCTGAAAGACACAATCTCACTCTACAGTTCACCCATCCTCACATAAACTAGTTCTAATTTTGCTTCTCACATTCTTGTCAGCAATTTCTAATATCTGAGACACTCCTGGAAAGCAGACATAAAAACAAGTGTGTCCAAAGCAAATCGATTTCAATATTAAAAGGAAATATTAACTCATTTTTCCTGAGCAATATCTACCAATGTGATGAGCTATGCAACAGGAGGTGAATTATGAAGTTTTCCATAGAATAATTATGTACACACCCACATGTATGTATACATAAGTGTATATAGACAAGAGGATATATGTTTGTATTTATCTCTATCTATTTCTATATATCCCCTGTTGTCATAGCCCTGAAGCTGAAGAGGAGCCTTCCATAAAACCCCATTATGGAGCTGGTTTACCTGCTTTTAAGGTGATTAATATTTGGTATGGGCAACATCTGGGTACATTATTAGTATTACCATACATCAACAGATAAGATGAGGAGGATTTTTCCCAAAATTTCCCAATATTCCGGGAAGCATAATATTTGTTATAAATAGATGTGTAGCTATGGTACATGCAGTCTTCATTTGATGCAGCTGCATAATACCTTTCCTTTGAAGTATTCTATGGATTTTTATCTGTGTATATCCTACTAAATTTAAACAGCATCAATAGTTTGATTTTGATATATTTATTTTCCCATTTAAAATCAGGTTCCTAAATTTCGATAATCTATTTGACTTCTTCTTTGTCAAGTTTGTCCCCAATTAATAGGACACTTCAGACTTGCAAAACACAATCATATGCTAACAAACCTGGGTCTTTCTGTCGCAACATCAATTAGAGAAAGTATTTCTCTATCAAAAAATAAATATGTATGTTCCTCAGTTCTTTTTGCAAAGCAATCTAATCAGAGTTGCTAGCAGTTTCAAAAGAAAAGTACCTTGAACGTTCAAGAACAAAGGAAAACAGATAACTATATGGAAATTGTAGAAAAAAAAGTGTAAAGACTTCACCGTGTTACGAAGTTCAACCCTTCTAAAAATTTTCAGTTCACTTTCCCTACAGACAATGTTCTGAGATTCTTTGTTAAAACCTCGTAATGTGAGAGCTGGTGCCAGATTCCTAACACAGATGTTTTGCTTGGAACCAACCACAGAAGCTGCACCTGACACCCTTGTTTAAGGGCCTGGGACCATATGCAGAATGCAATCTGTTGCCAAGCCACAATGAGCCAAAAATATGGAAAACGAATGATTTCAATGGAATAGGTCAGCCTGCAACAGCCCTAAACAGAATCATGGAATCATTAAGCTTGGAAAAGATATCTAAGATCCCCACCATGCCCACTATGCCACATCCCCACGATTCTTGAACACCTGCAGGAACGTTGACTCCATCACCTCCCTGAGCAGCTTGTGCCAATGCCACACTGCTCTTTTAGAGAAGAAATGTTCTGTACCAGGCCCAGTTGCTATGAACTATTCAATGCACCAAACAAACATAGCTTGAATTAACATAACCCACAGCATTAATAATGGTATTCCTCACAACACCACTACCTGGTGACAATAGGGTCATTTTCCATCAACATTTCAGGAACCCTTCTGCTTATCTGAATTTTAAATTGTCATTCATCCATTCAACAAGCACCACCTTCAACATTAATATCTGTCTTATACAAGAATGTGAAAAATACCTCTGAGGGATAAAATAAGGACATTCTGTCTTGTTCATTTATCATAAAAGAATCTTGATGGTTGAGGCCATGGTGCCTAAATACTTTCGAGAGGTGAAAAAGGCTGTGGGTGTCTTTGGTGCAGAAAACACAGGGTTGGAAGCTTGGAGTCACAAATCCAAAGCAGGAATTACACACAATTATAAAAATGCAGACTAGTTGGAATAAACCACCAGGTTCACTTTTGTATGTAGAGTGGAATGAGATGAATATAACTGAACAGGTGACTGAATTTGGGCCACCAAAGTCCAGCTGAAGTTTCACAAGGAAGAAAACAGCAGGTTTTTGTTTCACTTCCATTTGTGGAATATTTCCCTTAAATTTGGTGACAGTTCCCAGAGCAAGTCCCCCGAAATCATAACTTCAGATGCAATAGTGAACAACGAATATAGGAAAAAAGCTAAAATAATCTCATCTCAAAATATTCTCTCTCCAGAAAAAATGGAGCAATTACTGTTGTATTAAATATTCTCTGCAAAGGTGACCTTCACAATTCCTGATGATTCTCTCCATTCACCTCACTGCATGCGCTGAAGTCTAATAAACGTACAAAAGTAGGTATAAAGGATAGGGTAAAGGAAATAAGAAATATCTCCTCAACACAGGAATCCCTAAAGCTGCTGAAGAAAATCAGTTGTCATAGAAAATATCTTTCACAGGAAGCTTTGAAAGACATCTTTTTTTCTAAGCTCAGCATTTGGTCTCATCAGTTTCCACCCACCCACAATCTTTATCATTATCTCTATTTCTACAGTGTCATTTAACACAAAGAACACTTCCGAGCATTTCAGCTGAAGAGTAATTTTTCCCATTTTTTGCTTGTTTGCAGTGACTTTCACATAACTCTGGAATAATACACCCAGTCCATGAACATGGTGTAAAATGCAGCTTTGGAAAGCAGGCAACAGCCTGAGACAAATTCTGCTCTTAAATCCCATGTATATTACAGACTTTTTTACGCGATTCAGACAGCAAAACAGAGCTGATGAGAAATATACAAACATGTCTATGCTATGTCTAAAGCAGATAGCAAAACAAAACTCTGCATTATGCATTGACTTGTGGCCTGTGAGCACCACCTAGGAAGCAGTACATCAAGACAAGAAATTTTCCTGAACCCCATTCCAAACTCGTGGCTCAGTAATAGAATAGGTCACATATCTGAACTGGGATGGATGTGTCCTAAGCTGTCCTGTCCCTTCTGCAGGGGATTCTATTACAATGGAATAAAGACATAAATAGAGAGCAATAGCAGTGCTGTTGATCACCATTTTGTCGTAAAAATCATGAACATAGATTTCTATCCTGTGTGTGATCTTTTTTTGGTGGGAGAAGCTTTATATGTTATCGTATCAACTTTTTCTTCACCTCTCTTTTCCAGAAAAAATATCCTCTGGCTGAGTGATTGCATTACCACACATATTGAGAATACACATTCACTTTGACCGTGCTGGGGCAGGAGCAAAACCATAGAATTTAGCAACCCTAAAAATAAAGCAAACTGAAACCCTGCTTAGCACCAGCAGTTACAATTAACCAGCCTGAAAGAAGCAGCCTTGTCTCAGAATTATCTGAAGCCATTCAACATTTTATATCACTGATCCAAGACATCAAATTTTAGTCTTTCCATTACAGCTTCTGCATAACATTCATGTGCCCTGTGTTTATGATTCTCCTCTGAACAGATGTTTTGTAAATCATAAATTAAAACATAGCTTTAT